GCACCCCTTCATCATATGGATAGGAGTAGTGGCATATGTAGCCAAGATGGTGGATTCAGGCATATTGTTGTAATACTTTGTAGGTCCTCGAGAATAATCAATAAAGTGGCCGCATACATCTCCCAGATGCAGAGGTCGGGGGCCATCCTCCTTTTCTAAAAAAAAGACAAGTTTTGCCTTAAGAAGACTGAGCAAAACAACGACGCTAGATCAAAAGCCGAGGCCTCCTATCTGGGACAACCGGACTACTCCTGGTCATCGGTGTCCATATAGTACACACCATCAGGGTAACCTGCATCCGCGGCGCTACCAGTTGTTGCAGCAACCGGGTTGAATGAAAAGTGTAGCAAAGATGGCGAGGACTCATCCAAAGTAATCACAATACTTACATCAGATCTATACTAGATATGTATCAGTATCAAAGGAAAGGGGTAATATCTGTGGACTAAACTGCGGAAATGTCTGAATAAGTGGGAGAAGCTCAACCTATCGGAGACTACATCTTTTAGCAGTAGAAAAGAGGAGCCTATATGGTATCATCTTGTACATACATATAACAATAACCTGCCCAGAGATCCTCTCCTCGTCTCCTTGTGGGAAAGCGATCTCTGGGGGTATCTGTTTGTTATCTGGGTGTTTCATCAAGTATCCAGTTTTAGTTGTAAGAGGCCGGGATACAACTTCAAGTCATCATGTTATCATGGACATGGCTATTTGAATAGTTTAACTTCCCTGGAGGGGTGCACCACATAACCCGATACACTTGATTACCTCTGTCGGACACACTTTTCTAGGTAATGTCGGGCCTCAGATAATCTACACGTCGAAGTCCTACCTAGGCTCTCTAGAGAGGTCAACATGCCGGTCTACATCCTAAGCACGAAGGGTTCATTGGCCAATCATCCTAAGCACTCCTGCACATTGCGAGGATGGCCGGGACCAATCCCACCTCTGTATACACACCGGGCATGCCGCTCAACTGTGACATGTGACAGAGTTTTTGAGAGGAACTGACGACGCCGAGGGCCCCATAACCATTATTCCACGTGGCGGTTAGTGCGTATATGCCAGTGCCAGTCTCAAATCAAATATCCAAATCTCGTTAAGTGTGTTATTATGAAATAACCATAGATCCTGACCAGGATCCAGGCCCACCTCTCTTCTAGGTAGTCTCCACCTGCCCTGTCATTCCGCCACAGTGAATGTTTCATGTCGGATGTCGAGACAGATCCTGAGATACCACCACATCCTGGGTGGTACTGCTAACAGCTAGCTGCGACGGTGAATGACTCGGGGGTGCTCTCCGAGCCAATCCGACTTCAACATATCTGAAGGAAATATGCCCTAGAGGCAATAATAAAGTTGTTATTTATATTTCCTTATATCATGATAAATGTTTATTATTCATGCTAGAATTGTATTAACCGAAAACTTAGTACATGTGTGAATACATAGACAAACAAAGTGTCACTAGTTTGCCTCTACTTGACTAGCTCGTTGAATCAATGATGGTTATGTTTCCTAACCATAGACATGAGTTGTCATTTGATTAACGGGATCACATCATTAGAGAATGATGTGATTGACTTGACCCATCTGTTAGCTTAGCACGATGATCGTTTAGTTTGTTGGTATTGCTTTCTCCATAACTATACATGTTTCTATGACTATGAGATCATGCAACTCTCGAATACCGGAGAAACACTTTATTGAAGGAAATATGCCCTAGAGGCAATAATAAAGTTATTATTTATTTCCTTATATCATGATAAAAGTTTATTATTCATGCTAGAATTGTATTAACCGGAAACATAATACATGTGTGAATACATAGACAAACAAAGTGTCACTAGTATGCCTCTACTTGACTAGCTCGTTAATCAAAGATGGTTATGTTTCCTAACCATGGATAAAGAGTTGTTATTTGATTAACGGGATCACATCATTAGTTGAATGATCTGATTGACATGAACCATTCCATTAGCTTAGCATCCGATCGTTTAGTATGTTGCTATTGCTTTCTTCATGACTTATACATGTTCCTATGACTATGAGATTATGCAACTCCCGTTTGTCAGAGGAACACTTTGTGTGCTACCAAACGTCACAACGTAACTGGGTGATTATAAAGGAGATCTACAGGTGTCTCCAAAGGTACATGTTGGGTTGGCGTATTTCGAGATTAGGATCTGTCACTCCGATTGTCGGAGAGGTATCTCTGGGCCCTCTCGGTAATGCACATCACTTAAGCCTTGCAAGCATTGCAACTAATGAGTTAGTTGCGGGATGATGTATTACAGAACGAGTAAAGAGACTTGCCGGTAACGAGATTGAACTAGGTATAGGATACCGATGATCGAATCTCGGGCAAGTAACATACCGATGACAAAGGGAACAACGTATGTTGTTATGCGGTCTGACCGATGAAAGATCTTCGTAGAATATGTAGGAACCAAGATGGGCATCCAGGTCCCGCTATTGGTTATTGACTGGAGACGTGTCACGGTCATGTCTACATTGTTCTCGAACCCGTAGGGTCCGCACGCTTAAGGTTTCGATGACAGTTATATTATGAGTTTATGCGTTTTGATGTACCGAAGGTTGTTCGGAGTCCCGGATGTGATCACGGACATGACGAGGAGTCTCGAAATGGTCGAGACATAAAGATTGATATATTGGAAGCCTATGTTTGGATATCGGAAGTGTTCCGGATGAAATCGGGATTTTACCGGATTACCGGGAGGTTAACGGAACCCCCCCGGGAGGTATATGGGCCTTAGTGGGCCTTAGTGGAAGAGAGGAGAGGTGGCCAGAGATGGGCCACGCGCCCCTCCCCCCTTGGTCCGAATAGGACAAGGAGAGGGGGCCGGCCCCCCTTCCTCCTCTCTCTCCTCTTTTCCCCCCTCCACGAATCCTATTCCAACTAGGAAAGGGGGGGAGTCCTACTCCCGGAGGGAGTAGGACTCCTCCTGGCGCGCCTCCTCTTGGTCGGCCAGCCCCCCCCCTTTGAACCTTTATATACGGAGGCAAGGGGCACCCCTAAGGACACAAGTTGATCCACGTGATCATATTCTTAGCCGTGTGCGGTGCCCCCTTCCACCATAGTCCTCGATAATATTGTAGCGGTGCTTAGGCGAAGCCCTGCGACAGTAGTACATCAAGATCGTCACCACACCGTCGTGCTGACGGAACTCTTCCCCGACACTTTGCTGGATCGGAGTCCGGGGATCGTCATCGAGCTGAACGTGTGCTAGAACTCGGAGGTGCCGTAGTTTCGGTGCTTGATCGGTCGGGCCGTGAAGACGTACGACTACATCAACCAAGTTAACGCTTCCGTTGTCGATCTACAAGGGTACGTAGATCACACTCTCCCCTCTCGTTGCTATGCATCACCATGATCTTGCGTGTGCGTAGGAATTTTTTTGAAATTACTACGTTCCCCAACATTTATGTGCTACCAAACGTCACAACGTAAATGGGTGATTATAAAGGTGCTCTACAGGTGTCTTCGATGGTGTTTGTTGAGCTTGCATGGATCAAGATTAGGATTTGTCACTCCGATTGTCGGAGAGGTATCTCTGGGCCCTCTCGGTAATGTACATCATTATAAGCCTTGCAAGCAATATAGCTAATGAGTTAGTTACGGGATGTAGCATTACGGAATGAGTAAAGGGACTTGCCGGTAACAAGATTGAACTAGGTATTGAGATACCGACGATCGACTCTCGGGCAAGTAACATACCGATGACAAAGGGAACAACATATGTCGTTATGCAGTTTGACCGATAAAGATCTTCGTAGAATATGTAGGAACCAATATGAGCATCCAGGTTCCGCTATTGGTTATTGACCGGAGACATGTCTCGGTCATGTCTACATAGTTCTCGAACCCGTAGGTTCCGCACGCTTAATGGTCGGTGACGATCGGTATTACGAGTTTATGTGTTTTGATGTACAGAAGGTAGTTCGGAGTCCCGGATTTGATCACGGACATGACGATGAGTCTCGAAATAGTCGAGACGTAAAGATCGATATATTGAAAGCCTATGTTTGGACATCGGAATGGTTCCGGATAAAAACGGGAGTATACCGGAACATCGAGAGGTTACCGGGACCCCCCGGAAGATATATGGGCCTTGGTGGAAGAAAGGGGAAAGAAGCAAAGGAGCGGCAAAATATCGTTTGTTCTATGCGAATTATGTTGAAATCTGTCTTGTTTAATAGAACCTATTTAGTTTATTAAACTTTGCACACCTGTCCACGAACGGATACGGTGTCGGATTTGAGGGTCGGGTTGGAGATGCCTTAAGATACTACCTTTATTTTTTGTACATGTTCCTGTACTACAAATCGACCTTTGACACTATCTCACTACTAGAACTGAGGCGGGACTGGAAGCAAAATCCACGGCAAAGCTTTGTCTGCGCCAAGAAAACTACAGTTGAGGCCATGTATACAACAAAACGTAGCACGAAGCACCAAGGAAAGCACGTAAATTGGCCGCCAAAAAAAGCACGTAAATCCAGCAGGTCCCAGTCTTCACTCTTCACAGTTTGCCGTCAGTACTCTGGCAGGCAAAACAAAACCGTGTTCGGAAAACCAGGAGCTGGAAACTGAACCCACGTCCAGAAACGCATCGCTTCCTTCCCGCCGTCCGTCTGGTCGATCCGGCGCGTACTATGCGTCCACCCTTCCCTGGCGGACGCCCACACGACACGACCCTAGTCAGTAGTCACCCCGCCGCTCTAGCCTCCAGCTCTGTGCCAACCACGAAGCAAGCAGCCAAACAAACGCGCTCGCTTCTCTTCTCTCACGTCGCGCTCCGGCTCCCGCCACACGACACACAGCACAAGCAAAGCCAGCTGCCAGCTCCCTATTTATGCAGCACTGCCCCACTCATCTCATTCATCAGTAACTTAGCGTGGTAGTAGAAGCGAAACAGCAGAGCAGCATTGCAGCAAGCAACAGGGGAGGCTGCCATTCTGGTAGACAGCACTACAATGGCAACGACGACGCCTAAGGCGACGAGAAGGGCGTCGATACGAGGGCGGGCGTGGCGGCTGCTGCGGCTGGCGGCGCTCCGGGCGCGGAAGGGAATCGTCGTGCACGGTCTCGGCCTGCTCAAGACCCTGGGGTGCAGCGGGCGCAGCGACCGGCTGCGCTACGGTGAGCGCGAGTTCTCCATCGACGAGACTCCGGCGTTCCGGTTCCGCGCCCCCTCCGCGCGCGTGCTCCGCTTCATCCCCTGCATCGCCCCCGCCGTCCCGGACACCCCCGACGACTACAGTGGCGACCGCTACTTCTTCTGCGACCCGCTCGAGAGGGTCGCGGGCAGCGTCGGGGACGGCCACGGTGCCGGGCTGAGCGAGTACGGCGTCGAGAACCTCGACGATTGCGCGGAGGAGCAGCTGCTCCAGCGGGCGGTGATGGGAGCGAGCTGCGCGGACTTCGGCGCCGTGGAACAAGAGGACGGCGAGGACGCCGGGGTGGACGTCAAGGCGGAGGAGTTCATCGCCAACTTCTACTCGCAGATGAGGATGCAGCGGCAGATCTCCTCGCTGCAGTACAATGAGATGGTGCATAGGAGCATCTGCTAGACAAGGCGTGTTTCTTTTTTTTTGACACTTCAAACATCCTTTATTCATCTACAAGCATAGGAATTATAGTCATCGGGACCAAATGTAGCCAAGTATTAGAAGGAGAGAACCAATTATCCTCGTGCAGTAAATTGCCAAAAACTATCATTTGTGGGACCTAACAAAAAGTATCACTTTGGGGGTAATATTTTGGAGTAATGCTACGTCTACGTCTACAAAAGGTTACTTGAAATTTCTGCACCATGAGGCGGCAGATCTCCCGGCTGCAGTACAACAAGATGATGCATAGGAGTTTCTGCTAGATAAGGCGTGTGTTGACACCAAATTTTGATATAGAAAAATGTTTTTAAGATGATCTCAAATGAAATAGTGCTTATAGTCGACTACAACCTAGGATACCAATGCCACCCACGATGCTTAATGACTTCAGTTACCCAATTATGATATAATTTAGTTAAAAACGACAATTACTAACAATAATAGTCAAGAAACAGTCGGCCACATATGAGACCATGAATAGCATTAATACATGTCTGTAATGGCCTTCATCCTAACACACTCTATTTAAGGAGGAATGGGAGCATTGGGCTGAAGGTTGAACATCGATATATCGTACCTTATACCAAGAGCTAAGAGCATCACAGCGGTAGAGTATTACCTTCACCGGGGAGGGCCTGAACTAGTATAAATCCATATGCGTACTCCCGTCCGCACTGATTGGTAGATTTGATTGCCTCCATATATATACATACGCCATGCACTATTGTTAGGATTATATCCACAACAATACTTTTTTGATACACCTGTAAGTTATTTTTATTGGCACCCAGTTACGGTGTGATGTTTGGCAATCTCAAAGTAACCATCCGGTATGTTGGTATACTATGTTCTCATGGTCTAAGTGAAGGAAACATGCCCTAGAGGCAATAATAAAGTTGTTATTTTATATTTTTTTATTCATGATAAACGTTTATTATTCATGCTAGAATTGTATTGATTGGAAACCTTGATGCATGTGTGAATATATAAACAAACACCGTGTCCCTAGTGAGCCTCTACTAGACTAGCTCATTGATCAAAGATGGTTAAGGTTTCCTAACCATTGACATGAGTTGTCATTTGATAACAGGATCACATCATTAGGAGAATGATGTGATGGACAAGACCCATCCGTTAGCTTAGCATTATGATCGTTCAGTTTTATTGCTATTGTTTTCTTCATATCAAATACATATTCCTTCGACTATGAGATTATGCAACTCCCGGATACCGGAGAAATACCTTGTGTGCTATCAAACGTCACAACGTAACTGGGTGATTATAAAGATGCTCTACAGGTATCTTCGAAGGTGTTTGTTGGGTTGGCATAGATCGAGATGAGGATTTGTCACTCCGAGTACCGGAGAGGTATCTCTGGGCCTTCTCGGTAATGCACTGTAACGCCCTCGATGCGGCTATATCTCCTACGTGTCGAAGCACGACTTAGAGGCATAACCGCATTGAAAGCAATGTCGCAAGTAAGGCAATCTTCACAACATCCCATGTAATACGAATAATAAAAGGGTAAGGTACATAGTTGGCTTACACTCGCCACGTCAAACAAAGTACATAAATAGCATTACATCATCCAATCACTCATGGCCCGACTACGGTGCCAAAATAAAAGATCAACCCAACATGCGACACGGTCCCGATCGCCCCAACTGGGCTCCACTACTGATCATCAAGGAAAGACACATAGTAACGATGTGAGTCCTCGTCGAACTCCCACTTGAGCTCAAGCGCGTCGTTTGGAACAGAGTCATCAGGCCCTGCATCTGGTTTGGAAGTAATCTGTGAGCCACAGGGACTCAGCAATCTCGCACCCTCGCGATCAAGACTATTTAAGCTTATAGGTAAGGCAAGGTAATATGTGGAGCTGCAGCAAGCGACTAGCATATATGGTGGCTAATCTGTTCGCAAAAGAGAGCGAGAAGAGAAGGCAAAGAGCGAACGAAGAACTAGAGAACAACCTGCGTCAAGCATTACTCCAACACCATGTTCACTTCCCGGACTCCGCCGAGAAGAGACCATCACGGTAACACACACAGTTGATTCATTTTAAATTAAGTTAAGGTTCAAGTTATCTACAACCGGACATTAACAAATTCCCATCTGTCCATAACCGCGGGCACGGCTTTCGAAAGTTCAAATCCCTGCAGAGGAGTCCCAAACTTAGCCCATGACAAGCTCTCACGGTCAATGAAGGATATTCCTTCTAGCGGGAAGACCCGATCAGACTCGGAATCCCGGTTACAAGACATTTCGACAAGTTAAAACAAATCCAGCAACACCGCCCGAATGTGCCGACAAATCCCGATAGGAGCTGCACATATCTCGTTCTCAGGGCACACTCAGATTGTCCAAACTTTCGGTAGGCCAGCCCAGAGTTGCCCCTGGTGGCCACCGGCGGCTGACGAGGTGGACCAACACTCAGAGGAGCACTGGCCCGGGGGGGTTAAATAAGATGACCCTCGGGCTCCGGAAACCCAAGGGAAAAAGAGGCTAGGTGGCAAATGGTAAAACCAAGGTTGGGCATTGCTGGAGGAGTTTTATTCAAGGCGAACTATCAAGGGGTTCCCATTATTACCCAACCGCGTAAGGAACGCAAAATCCGGGAACATAACACCGATATGACGGAAACTAGGGCGGCAAGAGTGGAACAAAACACTAGGCGAGAGGCCGAGCCTTCCACCCTTTACCAAGTATATAGATGCATTAAGATAACAAGATAATATAATGATATCCCAACAAGAAAATAATGTTCCAGCAAGGAACGATCTCCAATCTTCACCTGCAACTAGCAACGCTATAAGAGGGGCCGAGCAAGGCAGTAACATAGCCAATCAACGGTTTGCTAGGACATGGTGGGTTAGAGGTTTGACATGGAAATTTGGGAGGCATGATAAGCAAGTGGTAGGCATCGTAGCATAGGCATAGCAAAAGAGCGAGCATCTAGCAAAGCAAAGATAGAAGTGATTTCGAGGGTATGATCATCTTGCCTGCAAAGTTGTCAGAGTTGACTGGATCCTCGAAAGCAAACTCAACGGGCTCCTCATTAGCAAACTCGTCTCCCAGCTCTACCCAAACAAGACAAACAAGCAAAAAGGACACAATCAACCACGTGCAAAGCTCAAACAACATGATGCAAATATGGAATGCTATGCGGGATGCGATATGTAATGCATATGCAAGATTTGACAAGGAATGAATAAACCTGGACTTAACTTGGAAATCCAAGTGTGCCACTGGAAAGGTGAGGTGATTTCGGTTGAAATCGATATAAAGAACACCAGAATCGGAGACACGGTTTGGAAATGGCAAGCAATTCAAATATGGCACCGGTCTGCGATAAACAGCAAGTAGCCATCTAAATGCAACAAGACAAACATGCTACAGCACCCAAACATGGCAACAAAATACATGGCAGGGATCCACTCATGAATCTTAACAAAAGATGAACACTGAGCTACGGCCAATTCATCCATTAACAGGTTCAAACAAGCATGGCAAAAGTGCAATTGGTAAACAGATTTCAGACTTGGTGAAATTAACACTTGTCTAGAATTTCAGATCAGGTAGCACACTTTGGAGCATGAAAACTAGATGCTACAGGAACTTAACATGGTAAAGTAAAGCATGGCATGGAGCTACTCAAAGAGCTTAAAGGGATCATAGAATACAATTGCAAGCATGTGAACATGACAAAAACATAATCAGATCACAGACTTAGTGAAAAACTGGAGCATGCAAAACAGATATTAAGTAGGCATGTTTACAAGCTCGATGCACTCACTACAGAGCATTTCATGACAATCTAAGCATACACCCATCAATAATACACATTATACAAGATAGACATGGCAAGAACAATAACATAGCATGCACGGATCAACTACAACATCCTCGGCAAAATCGCTAACAAGTAGACAATCTGTCCAGATTTACGAAATAGCAAAAGTAGAGCTCGATTGACTCAAGCTAGGGTGCTCCATAATTGCAAACAAAGACATGGATGGATAGAGCACTACAATATTAACAAATCATCCTTACTGATCATCCTCAAAAGAGACACGGATCACTAGGAAACAACATGGACATATGGGATATTGATAAAAATAGATCAAGGACTTAGTGGAATTGCTAAGTCCCTGAAATCAGCATTAACAAATGCTCCACTTTGCAAGCTTGTGCTAATAACCACACACATCACAAAAATACATGGATTGCACCTCTGGAAAGATGGCAAAGCATATAACAAAACTCATGTAGAGCTCAGGGGCATATCATGCACACAATAATCATGGCAAAAATGACAAATAGCCATTTGGAGCAGCAGATCTGACAACTAACTCAAATAGCACTCTTCCAACAGCATTTCGGGCATCAAGATGAACTCAAATGAAAATTATGCAATGAGATGAAATGATGTGCCCTTTGAGACGAACATTTTGATATGCTATACACGCAAAACGGAGTTACTGGTGCAAAGTTACGGCACGATGAACAAGGGCATTTGAATCTGGAAATCGGGGACTTAGAGAAATTCATCACCTCGCGGATCTAGGGTTTACTGTTCTCCCGGCGAGATCCACTGTTCACCCGCGAAGAAATCCGAGGTCGCTGGCGAGGATCCCTACTCCAGCGAAGAAGAGACGCCGCTCCGGCGCGGGGGAAGCCGGAGCCGGCGAGAGGAAGGACGAGACGGTGGCGGCGGCCGTCGGGCGCGGCCCCGGCGCG